CTGCGAAAGGAACTCTTTTTTAAGGAGCAAAAACAATTTTAGAGAGTTCTTAAATGGTAAAACAAAAAGATACTGATTGTTATGGGTTGAAAGCTTAAGAATTTTGGGTAGAAATTATATAGCACACCTCCTTACATTGATATTATTTACTTATTTTAATAGAAAGAAACATTTTACAGCTAATAAAGCATTTTAAAATATTATTAAAAGGCATTATTGATCGAAAATTAAACTTTTAAGCCCCAAAAGAAATGTTACCACGTATTTACCCAACTTTTCCCGCTCTGTAGATTCCCAGGATGTGTGTGATTTTGCCTTTGAGTGATTGAAGATATCAGGGGGGCGGGTCAAAAAGCGTTTTTGGTTTCCCTGCCAAAGCCACAAGCCTCAGAAACTTGTGAATACCACCGCCTTCCCCTTCGTGCCGCAACCAACAAAAACTTGGACTAATTGAGTGGGTTTAACTGGTGGAAGCCAATGCCAATTAGCCGAGCGAGTTTAAGCTACAACAGAGAGCGGGAAAACCCACATACATATATCTGCCAGAGGCGAATGCAAACATTAAATTAACCAAGCAATGTCAAATGCAAATAGCAAAATGCAGACATTAACAGAAACATTTGGCAGCCAATTTAATTTGTTGTTGAAATTGCGACTCTGAAAATTGTGGAAAATTATGTAAAATGGTGTCTCGCATCTCTCTCTCTCTCTTCGGCTATGTTTTTGCATACAAATTGTGGCAGGAAAGGAGAAGGAAATTCTAATGTAAATTTCATGCCAACACATAACAAAAATGTGAAGGAAAATGGGGAAAATGCAGCCTAGGCTAGGCTCTATTTTATGCCATTCTCTCTTGAGAAGTCTCTATGTGTGCGTGTGTGTCTCAGTGTGTGTGTGTGTGTGCACCGGAAATACTTGGCATGCCTCATTGAAGCTCGTTAGCTGACTTATTGCTGGTGGGGTCCTTTGGCAAAGGGATTCATGTTGACAGCTCATGGCGGCACTTTCAATTGAAATAAATCCTCACCAAGCAAGCACACACAAAAAAAAAAAAAAGAAAAAAGCCCAAGAAATTTGCCAATTTGTTGTCATGTCCCACTTCTGCCACGCCCATTAGCCCATTACACACACACAGAGACACACACACATGAAGCTCTATAGTCGAGCTGAGGGATATCTCATTGAAGACCAAAGGCATTGTCAATACTTGAGCCTTTTTACAGCTCATTCACAGCCAGCCTTCGGCTCATTTCTCATGGCTTTTCCCCACCAACATTTCCCATTTTCCTTGCCCCGCGCGCCGCCATCAAGTGTTTTTCAAGTGGAGATTAGCACGATTCCTGTGCAGCTTATGGCAAGGATGCTGCCGCTGCGTCCCCCTTTTATCTGTTCAGTTCAGTTCGATTGGTTTGCTTGTTCAACTGTTTTCCTTTTCTGCTTTTCCCTTTTTTTTATTTTTGTGCCTCGATTTCTTTGAGTTTGAGTTGTTTGCCAAATAAAAAGATTTGAGCTGTTTACAATAAAGGCGGAAAATGGTATTTCCCTCATAATATTTAGCGTTAAATTGGGTCGCCATAAATATGTTTGGACCTCATTAAGGGGAATGGTAATAAATCTTAGATTATTGGGATTATAAGCTTTGTTAGTGGGTTTGGACTTTGTCTTAAGTAATTATTTTACTATTATTAATTACCTTTTCTTAATTTTTATCAAAACTAACTCAAAATATAACTCAAAAACCTATTTTATCACTTCGTTTAGCTTATTAAGCTTTACTTTATATGTTATATAATCTTTTATCATGAGCTTTTTAAGAAAACAAAACGACATTCCTTAAACAAACCAGAAATGGCCACTTAAAAGCCTCCTTTATGATAATTGCTGTATTTAAGCACAGACATGACCCAATTTCTGGGTAATTTCCACACGTTCAGACATTTAAAAAATAAAGCTAATATGCAGGGCCACAAAAATGACAGAAATAAAATCCTTAAATTAGACCATTTCGCACCTTTAAAAGAGCATTAAAAATGGACTAAGGCGCCTAGGGTGGCTCTAGAAGTTAGGGGGATGGAAACTCAGACCGTTTCAATCAGCAGGAGAAACAAATTAGAACACGCACGAATGGCCAGGCCACAAAAGCAAAGTGATGAACACGACACACACGCACAACACACATCCTGGAAAGAGGCAGGAAAAAAGCAGCAATAGTTGGCCAAAAAGGAGACCAAAGCCAGCGGCACGTGAGTCTCTGGCAATTTCTGTTTTCCTCCCCTCAAAAAGCGGCATAATAATAATTGAGTAGATGCCCAAAACTACGGCAGTATACAAAAAAAAAAAAGAAAAATAGTTGCAGAAAATGCAAAATAAGGAGGAAACGCAGAGTAAAAGAAAATTCAGACAGGAGAGACGTGAAGCGACGTGGCTATTACCCACAGGCGTTTTGGCTGACCGACCGACGGGGCGTATACGTAATTTAAGCCGCTTTAAGTCAGTCCAAAAGCGTTGGAAATGGAAACCGTAGCCAAGTTCTCTGTCTCCCCTCATCTTATTCCTGATCGGGACATCCTATGCCCCCACACACACATACGCACATCTGCTACTAAGCTGCTCTGCACGCATATGAAAAATCCAGCAAAAAGTCCTTGAGCACGGCACGGTAAAAAAAATAAGGGATATATGTATGTAGAAGGGCGGGAACGGGGCGACGGGGCCAAATTCGAACTGGCACTTAAGAGCGTCGATGTCATGTAGACACGGGCCTGTGGAATGGGTAACAAAAAAGGATGGAAAAGCGCCAGGATCACACTGAAAAATAAATATTTTAATACAAGAAATCTAAGATCGAAAATATATGATCTTCAATTTAAAGTGTAAGATGTAAAACGGTCTGTCTTTCTCTAGCTCTTTTATTAAAATTATAGAGAGTCTAAAAATATTGTTAAACGTGAATGCATCATTGCTTTGATTTTCTTATTTATTTATATGTTCGTTGGCAAGGACCAGGAGCAGTCTCTGTTTGTTCCCTTAACTTTTCCAGTTACCGATAAAATTCTATGAATTTTTCCAAATTTAAACCTAAAAGGTTCCCCCAATTTTCTCTCAGTGCCGGATCAGCAGCACTGAAAGCAGGCATCAAGTGCTGGCGGCGCCTAAAGTAACTGAAGTCGGCAAATACCGCGTGATTCGGTGGGAATGGGACGAAAACTGGAGGGCAGCACCGAGCGAGCGACATGAAGTTAAGTGGCGTAAAGCGTGTACTTAATCGCTTAAAGCATTAGAATTTGAAATTGAATATCATAAAGGATATTCAAAAGTACGAACATAGAGAACAAAAAAATCTGGGAAAAGGGAAAGGGGAAAAGCAAACGCAGACAAAGAGCATAGAGCTGAAAAAAATGTTGTATAACTAGAGCAGAGAGCACACAGCAAATAGTTGTAAAATGTTTCGATGGTAGTTGAGAGATAGGATCTGTGGGAAAAGGATAGTCGAGGGTGCGAAAACATTTTGCAAATAGTTGAGAGTCCGTGTGGAGTTGAAGGAGTCTCGTGCCGTTGAATTGACGACTCGTAAAATTGTTTTAAGGTGCGACATAAACTGTGGGCGGTAATACAATAGCATAGAATAGAATATAGTATAGAATACTGAATCCTAAATCCTTTGTCCCCAAACAAATTGTGGAATGGAGTACATTTTTATCGCAATGAAATCAATTTGTTTTGGCCACTCGCTGAAGAGGCGATAATATTTTTTGTGACCAAATCACTTTGTTTACTGTTTATTTATGGCTTACAAGGAAATTGCTTGTAACGTTTTATGCAAAGTAAATTTTGCTAATGTTTAAATGTATTTAAGATTATTTAAATGTATCTAGAATATTTAAGTAGATGATTTAAGTCATTTATGAGATTTATTAAACATATTTTAAGAAACAAATTAATTCGATTCTATATTTTCTTTGTTTTTAATCCTTGTATATACATTAATATCTCTTTTTCTTTGGTCCCCAAACTACTAAAAAAAATTTTAAATATAGCTTAGTATACAAAATATTCTATATACATTTTTCAAAAACATAAATTACTTAATTACTTCGACTTATTTATGTGCTCTAAGTATATTGAATAATCTTTCCTATGTTTCTCCCCTCACTACTCTCAAATTTAAATATCAAAGAACTTACTCTACGTTCCAATTTTAAATTTAAATATCAAAGAATCAAATAACCTCTTTCACTCTACCCTCATAAATATTATTAAATTTAATGAGCCAAAAATTAGTGATGTTTGCTCAGCATAACCATTATGGCAGTATTTCTATGCCATTTAATATGACCCACATAAAACTATATAAATATTTCCCAAAAAAACAGAAAGAAAATAATATTAAAAGCGAAAAAGAGCTTTTAATAACAGTTCTCTCGCTTGAGGACATTGTTTTTGCAGCAAAATTACGCAGCAATTAGCGGAATTACATTAACAAAAGTTTTGATTTTACCAAAAGGCAAACAATAATTTCATGGAAATTATAATGCAATTTTTGCTCACTTCAGCAAAAATTGGTGCAAATTATGCGCCGCAAAATAATTATAATTAGATAAATTTTTGTGCAGCGAAAAGAACAATTGAAATATTTACAGGATTTTTCATTAAAATTTATTGGAAATTTTCTGTGCTGCGTGTTGTAAATCGCAATTGAAAAGGAGGAAAGTGGTGGGGATGATTCGGGCGGGACACACAGTTGGCATTAAAAATGCATGACATTTTGACAATTGATGGCCCAAGGAATCGATAACATCAAATATGCATTGGAGGCCCCTCTGGGGGCCGGCCTCTCTCTCTCATTTCCTCTGTCAGACAATTTGCAATTTGCTTTTATCATCTTAATTTGATTTGTCGGGTGTTTGCCGAGGGTTTGGGTGGGGTTTGAGTTCACTTCGAGTTCGATAATGAAGCGAACGAAGCCTGGGTAAATTAGCAAACGTATTCAATTATTTAGCAGCCTGCCTGGGAGAATAATGTCTTTGCTTTCTCCATGTAAAATACACTTCTGAATAAACTCCAAACCAAATCCAAAATGCTTCTATTAATAATAATAAAAATTATTATTATTACGGCACTTTTCGAGCCCGGTTGGAGCTTTATCATTACCTTGGATGCCCACGAGAGCGAGTGCTTCTACGATTCGGCAAATGTGAATGATATGGTCACCATTACCTTTGAGGTCATGGAGGGCGGCTTCAAGGATGTGGGCGTGGAGATCTCTGGACCGGACGGGGACTTGATGCATCACGAGGCCCGCGAGACCACCGGCAGCCTCACCTTCACGGCCATCAAGAAGGGTCGCTACAAGTTGTGCTTCGACAATGAGATCTCCACACTGACCCCCAAGATTGTCATGTTCCAGTTCCATGTGATGAAACCCCTGGACTACTATGCAGATCCCAGCAAGCGAACGGATGATGTCCTGGAGCAGGCCGCGTTGCAGACGACGCTGAACCTGCTCTCGGCCAGAATGGGAGCGGTGCGAGTGGAGCAGGAATATATGCATTACCGTTACCGGGGACACTTGGACATCACCGACAGTGTCCAGGATCGCATCCTGGCCTGGATGGTCTTTGGGCCCATGATGCTGCTTATAACAACGGTGCTGGAGGTGTACTACCTAAAGCGTTTCTTCGAGTTCCGGCGAGTGGTTTAAGCCTTGCCTTTACCAATAAAAAGCAGCTTGAAAAGTATGTTTTTTCAGATTCTTTAGCTGATTTTAATGGAGTTTCTATATTTATAAATCCCTTTACTCAACTCTCTCTTCATAGAAATTCTATTAAATCGCAAACCATTTATCAAATATTCCATATATAAACCTACTTCCACGCGAAGGCAAAGCCCTAGGATGTAAAATCGAAATAAAATTCTTGGAAAATAACCATCAGAGAGATGGATTTCCCCTCTAGAGCTGGCATATTTATTTTTTCCTTTTGTCTTGTGAACTTTATTTCCGCGTTGCTCCATTGGCTGCTAGGATACTTTGGACCACAGCATCCCAAGTCTCAGTCTCAGTTTCTCCTTGCTTCCTGGTTACGTCGCCCAACTTTTGCTTTCATTTGACGCTGGGGAGCAATATTGTAGCAAGTCGGGTGTCCTTTATTCATTCTTCTGGCGCTGCCAGATGCCGCGTCTCGAGAGCTTCCCTACACAACATGCTTCATTTTATTATGCAACAGCCAACGGAACAAAAACAAAAAAAACCTGCTACTTTATAGGGCAATACATATAAACAGAGAGACCATGGAGAAACAAAAACCCATAGTGGGAAGGCAGCAAAAAACTTGACGCGACATTGTCGTAAATAAGAGGCAAAAACTTTCCCATTGTTTTGCCCAAAAGGGAAAAGAACCAGCAAAAAAAAAAATGAGAGGAAAAACCATCGCTAGAAACTTGTGAATGAATATGATAAGTTTCCGTCCAGACTTCATGCCCATATATCGCCGTATTGTATTGGCCATCATAAATTTCCAGTGCTAATCCAATATAGGTGAAGTGAACTTTATGGATACTTGAACCACTCCCTCCCCCATCGACCCATGGAAAGTTTTATGGTTTGTGAAGCGTGAAATATGCCACAAATTGAGGGGAAAGAAAAGTCACAAGAAGGGAAAAGCCAAGCAAAGTCCACGCCAAAGCCACATCCTCAGTTGCTTTTCATGCTAGCTGCTGTTATTGTGTAAATTTAATCAAGCAGCTTATCCATAAATCTAGTATAAAAATGTATAAAAAGTGTCTTGACTTGACTCAGTTGATATGTAAATATTCTGTACTTATTTATAGCTATCCACAGCTTCATGGGAATATGTTAATATATCTTCTTTTCATAGTTTTTCTATACTTTATTAATGCCGTTGACAGTTGGTTAGAAGTCTGTGAAGAACTAACATTTCCTGCAATGAAAATGCTGTGCTGGAAATGGTTCAGCTCTCGTTAATTTCCATTTTCATTTCGATTTTTCCGCCACATTCGCGGATGCTGCTGTCAATGCAACCACCGCAATAGCCACTCAACCAAGCTCAGCATTCCGACGGCCCATCATCTCTCATCATTATCAAGGCATGCCAGGGTCTCGACCCCAATGCCACTCCCGACTTCAATTATGTTTTGCATCCTTCAGAGCTGTTCACTTAATTGCATCACTTGCACAGCCATCTCGGGCTGAAGGCGGCGGTTAGCCTTGGGCTCCTTACGAACTGTGATGGCTTTGGGTTCTCCCTTCCATGTCCATTTCCATTCCCCCATTTCCTCCATCCAGCGTGGCAATTCAATTTTCTATTATGTCAGGCCGAGTTGAAAGCAATGTAATGTTAATAAAATACTGCCACCAGCCTCTTGGCATCGGCATCATCTCTTTGCCAGGCAGTGCTAGTAGTGCTCAGTTATAGTCGTGGCAAAACAACAATGGCAAGAACTCGACTGATGCCAGTGCTATGGCAACGTAACGTATACGCAATGTGGTGCGCCTTTTGTCCTGCCTACGAGTATTTACCCACAACACACCAAACACACACACCATATGAGGTGAGGGAGGGGAAAACCGAAAAGGCGAGGTCGGGGGCTATGTTATTTGACATTTATTTGCCATTTCCCTGCATCAGCAGCACCCCGACCCAGGGGTTGCACAGGAAACAAAATTCGGAAATTTATCTAGCACTTAATCACGGAAAATTAAATTAAGAAAGTTCTTTAAAAGACCTGAACTTTAACAGAAAATAGATTTAGAATTTATCTATTAAGAAGGCTTTAATTTAAAAGAGTGACCAGACTAAGAAATGAGAACTTAGGTGTGACCAGATAGCTTACATTTACAAGATTGAGAAAATAGTGAAATATTCTATGAACAACACCCTTTAAGTTCTAAACTTTTAATAGTTAAAAATAACATTTTAAGCAATTAAAATTTTATCCGCACAATATAAACCCACAAAGTTAATTATAGACGCTAGATATTCCCTAATTATATGCATAAACCAACTTATATTTTATTCCTGTGTAAGAAACTATGAAGCTGCACTTACCTCGCTTCTGTGGCGCCTGCATGGAGGGCGATGGCGTCGCCAGGCCCACACTCAACAGCTGCAGGAGGAGCAGCATCGCCAGCAGTGACATCAACAGGCCACAGCGAGATGCTCCTGCTCCTGCTCCTGCACCCGATCCAACGGCGGCTCCTTTGTTCCGCCCCATCGTCCGACGACCTGCGACGACTCCACTGAATCCTTGACTTTGGTCTCGGTTTTGGTTACGGTTTGGATTTTGGTTTTTGGATTGGGATTGAGATTGGGATGAGGTTTGGAATTGATAGTGGCCTTTGCTTTGATTCCGGAATCCGTTGGAGCGTTTGCTTTGGCACATTTCTGTTTTCACACTGCACTTTTTCACAAAATCTCTCTCTCTCTGTGGCACGTTTTCCTCTTTATATTTTATTTGTTCATTTCATTTATGCTATTTAAATACATTTAAAGTGGAAAAAGAACATGAAATAAAACTGTAGCAAAATATTTATTTGGATTTTTCCCGTTTTAAGGCCTGCAAATATTTTTATTTCGATTAAAATTTTGCGCTTTTATTAGGCCATATTTGCAATTAATTAAAAAGCAATTTGCTCAATTATTGATGCACAGAGAATTTTCCTGCTTTCCAGCTTGGAAATAATTGAATGGCAGTTTTGTGTTTTTTCTTTGGTTTTCGATCATTAGTCATTGTGAAAAACCAGAGGGAACTGAAAAATGAGTGAAATCCCAGGAGGCAAAAGGCCGTTGGCAATCATTCTTCATTAGGGATAGGGGCCAACATGTCAAGGACTTTTCGAGGACGACCACAGAAATGTCGCGCGAGTTTTCTCCAAACGTTTTCTCATCACAATTTTCTAATTTTCTTCTGTTTTTTTTTTTTTTTTTTTTTGTCTGCTTGATAAATATAAAAAAAAGAAGAGAAATCTTCTCACAGTTGCATTTCCATGAAAATTGGCAAAGGCAGGCGACGCTCTGTGGAGCCTGAAAAATTGCAGCAATTAGTGGTGCCTGGAGGTCAACCAACCAACGAGCCAAAAAGGACACGGACATGGACGAGATCCTGCCTGCCTGCAACCTGGCTGGCGACGTGAGCCAGCCAAAGAAATATGTAGCTGAAATATTTTGGTTACCAGTTTTTTGGCTCTGTTTTATTTTTTCCCTGTTGTGGCTGCTGCGAAATACCTTTAAAGTGGGATTTTTTTCGGTGAGATTGAAATAGGGCCTTGTGAGTGAGTGTGGGGAAAATGGGTGACAGCGTTTTGTGAGTTTGACAAATATTTGGTTATAACGTTTAAAGACTTTTTCCCTTTTTTTCTTTGTTGGTTAGCGTAAAGGCTTAAAAATACCAAAACGTGTTAAAGGAAATCCATGGAAAACCACTTTATATAGTATTAAAAAATATATATATATAGATTTTGCATTATTTTCATGGATTAAACTTATTGCTTTAATGTTTAAACACATGTGTTTTCCGATAACCCTCTTTAATCATCATTATTTCCACATATAATGACCTACAACGTTTATATCTGACCATAAATACACCATTAAAATTGTATATATGAATATTTTTAATTGCTTGATAGATGCTCATAGCATTTTATGTTTCATTTTATTTTTAAAATATTAAAAGTCATTCCTGTTGATATTTTAATGATAAATGTTTGCTTGGCCCAAAGGTTTATGCAGCTGGTTCAATATTTCAATACGTGTTTTTTATGGCACCCGACCGCCTCTCTCTGTCTCTCTTCAATTATTTATGCAAAAGGGGGAAAACGGCGGCAATAAAAATCAAAATCGGGGTAAATTCAACTGTGGCATATGGCAGAAAAAGGGACACAAAAGGCCCGACAGCAGGAAAAACAAAAGCTAATAAAAATAAAGGCGAAAGAAGGAGGGAAATCCATTGACGGATGTGGCACGCGTTTCTCCTTTTTCTCTGTGTATTTGTTTTATTATTTTTATTTGTTTTGCGAAGGCACTTTGTAAAAAATCACGTAGCCATGACCGAGGAGATAAAGGACACCCGCACTAAGGCACACGCAAAGCAGCGAGAATTTAATATTTAATCTTAACGAAGGACATCAATTGCAATTACACCAAAAAACACGCCCGTCGCTGTCGCACAACACTCTTCCTTGACGATAAGAAAAATCCCTGCAGGATTCTTCAACTGCTTTCGCTGACTTCTGCAGACGAACTGAGCGCGAATTTATTGCTTACTGCCACACAGGGAAATCCCTTCAATATATCTCTTTATATCTATATATGTAAATATGTATATTTTCCACGACGAAACACAACCTCAGGCTTCGGCTGGCCACGGCGAACTGGCCACTTTTCGCTACGATTTTCCCTTCGGAAAAGCCAAGCGAAACCGAACCAAAGCGAAGCGAAGCTCTGAATGAAAGTGAAGCTGATTTTCCCAACCATTGAGAACTCGGAGCGAATCGGTTGAGAAGAGACACAGAGAGAGAGTGTGTAAAAGCTTGTTTCTTGGTTCAGTGGAGGCGGGGGAATCCCCTAATGCTCTCCCGGAACATCTGACTTTTGTTTACGCATATCAGCCATCAGCTGTTTCCGCTGAGAGAACTCCTGGCTGCTCGCCACGTGGTCACAACAAAACAAATCGCCGTGTTTTGATTCGGAATTATGTAATGGCTAGTGAAAATGCCATAAGGGATAATTGCAAGTGCACTGAAATGAAATTATAGGGTTTTTAATATTATTTTATTAAATTTCCTACCAGTTTTCGATGTTTATTAAATATTCTGAACTTTGAAACACTAACAAACTACTAATTCAAATAAAATAAACTAAAACAAGATTGGGATTAATCAAATTTGATAAAAATCTGTTGAAAACTGGAAAAGTTATAATTTTTGTTCTTAAAATTTTCCGATCGTTCCTATGGCAGCTATATATATATGTATAAATATAGTCCACCGATTCGCCATGCTCCGACGTATATACTAGTAAAATTATATAGAAGAATAACTCCATCGTTTCATTCAAATAGCTTAAATTTGCTTCACAACAAGTCTCGCACAAGTGTACTTATGATTCCCAACTTGTTCTAACATCCCCGGAACGAAGTGACTGCTGCCGGCCAGGTCTCGGATATGTGTTGTGGTACAAAAGTTGCAAGTCATTGTTTATTAGTGTTCAAAGTTTGTAACTGATCATACATACTCACTGATCATAGGTACGTACTACTTATAGTTAGTTACTGGTCATAGATACTTACTATTCTGAGTAACTTAATTTGCATCAAAACTTGCTGATCATAGTTAATAACTGGGCATAGTTAATTAATGGTCATAGTTAATTACTGGCAATAGTTCTATAAATCGTCCGATTGTTCCTATGGCGGCTATATATATGTGTATATATAGTCCACCGATTCGCCATGCTCCGACTTATATACTAGTAAAATTATATAGAAGAATAACTCCATAGTTTCACTCAATTAGCTTAAATTCGCCCAAAAACAAATCTCGCACAAGTGTACTTATGATTCCCAACTTGTTCTAACATCCCCGGAACGAAGTGACTGCTGCCGTCCAGGTCTCGGATTTGTGTTGTGGTACAAAAGTTGCAAGTCATTGTTTATTAGTGTTCAAAGTTAGTACTGATCATACATACTTACTGGTCATAGATACCTACTGGTCAAAGATAATTACTGGTCATTGATACTTATTGTTGAGAGTTACTTAGTGGTCATAGATACTTAATGTTCAGAGTTACTAAATGTTCATTGATACTTACTGATCATAGGTACTTACTGGTCATAGTTAATTACTGGTCATAAATACTTACTGTTCAGAGTTACTTACTTTTCATAGTTTATCATCATATCATATGATTCCCAACTGGTTCAAACATCCCCGGAACGAAGTGACTGCTCTGGCCAGGTCTCAGATATGTGTTGTGTTACAAAAGTTGCAAGTCATTGTTTATTAGTGTTCAAAGTGATCATACATACTTACTGGTCATAGATACTTACTGACCATTCTTAATTACTGGTCATATAATAGCTCAAAAGCCTTGAAATTTATTCAAACTAAAGGTTTAACTACTCCTTTTTCTTATTTTGAAGGGTTAAGCTATTTATTTGTAATATAATCATGTAATATGTATAATTCAACTTATTTTTTGTTTGCATTAAAAATTCAAACAATAATTTATAAAAGCCGTCTTGAATATGAATATTTGTAAATATTCATACCTAAGAATTTATGCTTCTAGCAAATCCTTTTACCTATTTCTCAGATTAATTACAAGTTCTAAAAGAATTATTGCTGCCTTTTCAGTACCTTTAATTAGGAAATAAAAATTACCGAAGGTATACAAAGCAAAATAGGACGAAAGTGGTCTTAAAAACAAATCATAAAAAGTGAGCAGCGTTCCTAAGCAGACCCCCTTTTTTGGCCAGACAGTCCCTTTGCCACCACACTTCCTCATTCCCCTCCGCAGTGGTCATCATCAAGGACGAGGAGTCCTTTGCGTGGACAGCTGGCGACGACCTTTGCATGCCAATTAGATTGGGGATCTCTCGGCAACTGGGACACGGAACGCTGCGCTTCGCTGCGGAATGCCCATCATCCCCCTGAAACCTTCCTTCACGGCCACAATAACCTTTAAGTGTTACGGTAACGGCCGAGTTTTTAAGATGGCGCAAAAGGAAGAAGGTATTTTTTTATAGCTATCAGCCATCAGATTCAGCTGCAGGTTGTCCTCCTTGTCCTGCTGCTCTCTTTATTTTCTCATTTCCTGGCCAGCCCCATACTCAAGGATGTGCGCAGGTGTCGGGAACAGAGGCTGAGGTAAAATCACTAAAAAAAAGAACGGGGAGTGCCTTTTCTTTCTTCCTTTTTTTAGCTTTTTGCTTAATTTTCGTTTTATGTTTTGACACCGTTTTTTTGGTAAAGTTTTCCAACAGCATCTTCTCTCCTCTCCTCTGTCACTTACAAGTTTGCCTCGTGTTGCCGTTGACATTTTTATACATCATCTGTCCTTTTTGGCGGCCATTTCCCCGCAGCTTTCCCCCACTTTTCCCAGTCTCTTTCCACCTTTGAGTGCCCTCATATTATTCCGTTGTTGCTTACATTTTTATTTAATTTCCAACCTTTTTTTCGACACAAAGTTCTTTCTTTCTTTCTTTTTTTGTGGCCCATAAAGTGGCAAGTGTGTTGGCTTTTATTCTTTATTTTATTGGCACCATATAACCGGTAAGTGTGGCAGACAAATCTGGCAAGTGTGAACAGACAAGCCGCCTTTGATCAATATTTAATCGTCATCAAAGGCAAACAATACCTTCGGGTCTCCCTATACCAAAAAATTATAATAGTAACAAGCACAATGTAATTGTGATATATTGCAACAAAATTGTTAAACAATTGATTTAAATGACATCAAAATGTACGGATGTACAGATAAATATGTGCTGAAAAAATATTACAAATTAATTACTATTCAAAATGGCCGCAGGCGGCCACAAAATGTGTGATTTATGGGCTCAAAAATTACGTATACGCCGTGTGATCGATGTAACCACCTTCCCAAACCCATTTTTCCGGCAGCCATATTGCAATTGAACACATAATAAATATTTATGCAGACAGTACACTGTAATTACACACACACACACACCCTGTGTGTTGGGTTGTTTTTGTGTTTGCACAGATTATTAAAGTTATTTTCTTTGGCACAAACCACTTTTCCTTGGAGTCTTAAAGGCTGCTTGGGGGGGCCGCCTTTTGTTTATGTTTGCACACATGAATGTATAAATTACGATGCTTGGTTTTTGTAAACAAAACGAGTTTGCCTGCGGGCCGCCCCCCTTCCGTCGACGCCCCTGGGCAAACAGTGGCGCCTCCTTCCTTGCATCCCGTTGGCCACATTTAAATATTTGCGCATGGAATTATTTTCTCTGGCATAAAGTGTGGCCAGGTAGACATTTTACAAAGTCAAACAAAAGTTGCCACCATCACTTGCCAAGCCTGTTAACCCCGCCATGGCCCCTTAGCCGTCTCCTGCTCCTGCTCCAGATCCTGCTGTTGCCACCTCCTGTCGGTTTTGTGTCCCCATTTTGCATCACCTTCCATGGCCATGGCATGGGGAATTTTAATTAAATTTAAATGAAGATTTATTACATATTTCATTGCCTGGCTCGCTCTGCTCGACTCTGGTGACCTTCAATTGCCCTTCGATTAAGCCACAATTGAAAGCAATAATATCGATTTCTCACAGAACAAAGGAGGAAAGCATGTGGAAGAAGCCAGTCTTAATTAGCAATGAGTTTCCAAGCAATTATAATAATTATTATATTTATAATTATTTATATTAAGATGTTGCTTAAACAATGTTGCAAGTTAAGCAACAAATGTTGCTGGCAACACGACGAAGTTGTGAGTGCAAGCAGGATAGATACATTAATTGATAAGTTAATACTTTATGAACCTATAGCTCCCATGTTTATCAAGCAATCGTATTCAGATTTTCACATTACATCCGCACACGACTTTTCATTACATTTATATGAAACATATAATTATAAATTTATTCCCTTCAAAGTTATGGTTAAAACAAAGTCAGAAGGAATCAGTTCAAAACCTTCTTCTCCCTGGTCGAAGGCAGCAGCATTGATGTCCCAGAAGATGTGGTGGACTGTGGTGGCGCAGCACCGCTATCCGACTCGTAGGGCCCCGTATTCAATTGTGATGGCCTCGGGCGGATGACGATAAAGTGACAGACCAAATTGGTATCCACCACCAGGACGGCACCGCAGTTATCGAAGATGTTGCAGTAGTTTGGGGCCGAGAAAATGGTGACCAGCCGGCGGTCGGCAAAGAATTCGTAGCCATCCTCGACAACCTGGTGGGCGCGTACAATTAAATTGAAGTTGTATTGCTGCAGGAAATTCTCCACGACGCTGGCCCCGAAGGTGTAGCTAACGCCCCTATCGTTTGGCATCCACGCATTGTTGCCCTCCTCGGGATCCGACCACAGGAGGTCACACAACAGACCCTCGCTGGGCACATCGGTGGGTCGCGGCAGGAACTTTATATCGTCCAGACTCTTCAGATCCGGACTCAGGCCCCCATGGACGCAGAAGATGCGATCCCCCACAATGGCCGACACGGGCATGCAGTTGTAGCAGTCCACAAAGGTCCTCCACAGCTTAATGCTGTACCTCCTCTTGCACTCGTCGTAGAACCCATAGACTCTATTCACATCCGATGATTCGTGGTTGCCGCGCAGCATGAAAAAGGTCTCGGGATAGCGGATTTTATAACACAACAGCAGGGTCAGGGTCTCTATGGAGTTCTGTCCCCTATCCACATAGTCGCCCAGGAACAAATAATTAGACATGGGCGGTGTGCCGCACTGCTGGAAGATCCTCAGCAGATCCCTGAACTGACCATGCAGATCCCCGCATATCTTTACCGGTGAATTCAGCTCCAGGAGCATCGGCTGGGAGAGGAACACTTCCCGTGCCGCACTGCACACGTACGTGATGGTTCCCTCGGAGAGGTTAGCCGCCCGGCGGTTAGTATAGCTTTGAGTTCTCAATTGAATAATGATATTATCCAGTTGAGCTATTCGGACTCTCTCGTTATTTTCCCTATCTTCCTTGGATTTACTTTGCCTGGATCCACTAGAGAATCGATGGTTCGACATGGTTTGCAGTGGATTTCTTTTTAGAGGAGAATTTTTTCTCTTTTTGAGTGATGAGTGAGTGTGCCTGTGTTTGTGTTTGGGAACTCTGTTTTTTTTTAATTTATAATTTGATAAGAGCCCCGAGTTTCCTGCGGTTCACTTGGCTGCTCGCCACTTCAACTCCCAAATCGTTTTCGCCAAGACTTTATCCACCATTTCTTTTGGCAATTCAAGTTGCTCCTTCTACTCTTCTCTCTGGCGTTATCTGTTACCCCTTGACCGTTTCAATTATCAGACACTTGGCATAAATTTTTGGCGAAAACAAAAAAACACATTCAAATGGAGGGGCGCCTCTCTCGATAACAGGGGGGGCAGGGGGAAAAGCGCCGCAAAGTCGCTTGTTTACTCGCTGTTGAACCCTGAACTCGCCCGCCCACTCACTTACTCTCGGCCCGTTTGTTGGCCAGGACGCAGCTGCATTTTGGCCACTCGTAATCCCAATCCAGAGAGCTTCCTGCACTTGTAATGCGGCTTAAAGCGAGTACCATTCGGGGCCATCTAGGGTTTTATACGAATATATTTTCGCCTGGGACAAACAAAAAAAAAATGCCCGGCCCACTCCCACTTTTTTGGTGGCGCATTTTGAATACATTTTTGAATCAGCGTCGGTCGGCGACGCTGTTTACTTTTTATGTCACTCTTTTTCGGGCCCAACTCCAGCTCCGGTTTTATGCGATTTGTGTACTTCCGGCGAGTGCTGTGTGTGTGTGTGTGTGTGGGTGGTCCTGTGTGTGTCATGTGTGTGTCACCACTCTCAACTGCTGGCAAACCGAAACCACTCGCAGTTGGTCCGCGCCCCAGAATGTATTTAATTGCAAGCGGCGCTCAAATAGGATTTGTGCATTGTTTTCTGCGGTGGATTTAATGCCATCTCCTTCTCGTTTCCACTTTCGAGCTTGTTTTTGCATTCTTTTTTCCCCATCCTCTGAGTCCTGCTCCCATTTGGAATCTATTTTAATGTCAGTTTAATTCAATGCCTAGTGGTTCTCTCTAATGCGCTGCGGGAGTTATTTTGAGGAGAATGAGAATAGTGGGAGGCATCCTTGTGCGGCAAATGTAATTAAATTGTGGCCAAAGTGGGATAATCCCTGCGTTTTTTTTCGATATGGGTACTTAGTAAGCGTATATCAGCTCTCTGCGGGTCTCTACAGAGCTGGACTTCATTTTGGCTTAATTTCTGATCCTTTTTTGAATAAAATTAACTTTAATTGAGATGGATTTGGTATGGAATTTTAATTCTATTGGATTTTGTAGCTGAAAGGTATATATTTTACATTTTAAGATATTTTAATGTTGTAATTTATTTAACTAAGTAATTTAGTTTTACAAACCCATTTAAAATGTAATTCTTCGACTCGAAATATCAAATCAATGGCATCTCGCACTCAATTGACTTGGATGAAAGTCGAACAGCTTTCAACCATCGCTCATCTCAAATCTGAAGCAGCTGAAGGCGCTTGGCTTATTTCCGTTTCCGCTTTCTGCCATATTTTGTGAAGCCCCCTCTCATAACCACACTCTCTCGATCCATTTTTACCTCAGCAATGCAATTTTCAATTGGAAAATGAAGCAGGGCAACGACACAGAGGAAATATTATATTAATTTGGATATGAAATAGTTCTCAATTTTTATACCCTTGCAGGGTATTATAATTTCAGTCAGAAGTTTGCAACGCAGTGAAGGAGGCACCTCCGACTATATAAAGTATATATATTCTTGATCAGGATCAACAGCCGAGTCGATCTAGCCATGTCCGTCTGTCCGTCTGTCCGTCTGTCCGTCTGTCCGTCTGTCCGTCTGTCCGTTTCTACGCAAACTAGTCTCTCAGTTTTGAAGCTATCTGAATGAAACTTTGCAGTTAGTCTTCTATATACTCTCACTCGTATATATGTCGGAACGGGCCGGATCGGACGACTATATCATATAGCTGTCATAGGAATGATCGGAAAAGTTTTACAAAAAAAATTATAAAATTTTTAGTTTTCAACAGAATTTGATCAAATTTGAAATATAGCCATTTCATATTATTCTAAAATTTTGTGTAAAATTTTATGAAAATCGGATTACTATATCATATAGCTCCCATAGGAACGATCGAGAAATTAATACAATTAAATTTATAACTTTTTTAGTTTTAAGCTGATTTTCATCAAATTTGTCTATATATAAGTCTTAAATTTTGTGGCAAATTTCATAAAAATCAGACGACTATATCATATATGTGCCATACAAACGATCGTTTGATGTAGAGGAAAAATGCATATCTGTGAATGTAAAACTGCAAATATAATTTGTATAGGTGAATGAAATAAAAGCAGGTATTGCTTCATTGTTTTTTAACACAAATATATATAATTTATATTGTATGGATTCCTATTCATAGAAGTTCTATCTGCAAGGGTATATAAACTTCGTCGTGCCGAAGTTAGCTTCCTTTCTTGTCGTTATTGAATTTAAAATCAATTTAACCTTGAATAAGTTTATACTTTCTTATCTTTGTACATATGTATTTTTTTAGGTCTTTTACTAATCGAATTAATATTTAATTTCTTCAGGATTGAATACAATTTCTGTCTCTGCATGAGAGTTCGTAACTGGGGGGCGAGGGCAAAGGTCGTGTGGTTGGGTCAGTGCTGAACTACTTTTCTGGTTTTCAGCTGGTGCTGCTGTCGTTGCTCTAGCTGCTTTTGTTGCGGCCATAACCCCCTCGTCTCCATCTCCAGCCCCATTGTGTCGCCGGAAATATTCAATTTTCAATTTTCATTTCGCTGGCCAGCAAAAATTGGCAAGCGACGAAAACAAAGGACGTGGAGAATAGAAAGCCGAGAGCGGGAAAATCTGCTAAGCGCAGTGAGTGGGATTGAAACAAAGGGAATGTTGAATGAAAGAAATCAATTCGATTATTACGTTTTTTTTCTTGTTGCCCCTAGCTTTTCCTATTTTATTTCACTCCCTTCTATTGTCGGGAATTATGAAGGTGCAACGCTGCTGATATAATCTTAATGCAACACGATTTTCCCTCAGGGCAGTCAGGGTTGTCATCTTAACACAATTAAGCGCTCAGCGGGATATAAATTTATTGAAATATTATTTATGACGTTGAAAATTGCTGGAAGCCGCCTTTAATCCTTGTTACTTACACACACAGGCCAGCCCGGAGGATCCCTCCTGCTGGGGCATGCTTCGGTTATCGTTTGTTTTGGCCATTTTCCAGGGTCATTAGCTGACGGCCACAATGATGATGACGATGATGATGATGATGATAATGTTAATGTTGATGCCTTGGGCTTGGGTCTGGCTAAAAACTTTCTGGAGCTGGCATCTCCAGCTGGGGCAGTCTTACCGCAAATGAAAATTGGTTTCTGAAAAGCATCACAAATATGGTTATCACAAATGCTAAATTACCAGCTTATACAATATATTACTGAGAAATGCCAATTAAAGTAATATATAAACATAGATAGACTTTAAAATATTTAATTAAATGAATAAATCTTCAGCGTAACTTGTGTAAAGAAGTGCTCGTGATGAAATCTATTGTTATCCCTTCAGTAGATACATATACTTACTGAATATATCCAAAGGACCTGGCCACTCATTAAATAGCCTGCAGGATTTAAGCTGAAGAAGCTAAGTGCTCTCTCTCCCTGTGTGTGTAGTGCCAAGATACCAGCGGGGTCAGAAGCTTGTTTTAATTAAAATTTTAATTTATTTTCTACCATTTCGTTGGTGTCCTCTTGTTCCTTTTAATTTTAATATATATTTTTATTCGCTGGCCATCAAACGTGATGAGAAAAGCTGAGGGTGAGGTGACATCAAGTGGCCGAAATTAAAATCTGCACCGAGCTCTTGACACTTGATGGAGGGGGGTAAAGAGGATGTGTGTGTGAGTGCAAACTATACATAAGTGACAAAAATTACGCATACGCACTGTGCGACGCCATGTATAATGAGAGCGCAACCAGGTCGCAATATATTGAAGTGACTCCGTTTGTGCAAGTGTGTGTGTGTGTGTGTTTTGGTGGGTGTGCGACTGCTCATTAACACTCTGTCGAGTGGTTGTGTGTGTGTGTGTGTGTGTGGGGTTAAGCTTCAAGTTGGTGTAAAGAAGAGACTGAAAGATGAGAAGGACACGCGTGTGTGCGAACAGTAAATCACTGAAAATAGCTGGCAAAATAAATTCCACAGAAGATTTAGTAAGACATAGACATAGCTATCGTCTAGTCCCTGGCTCCTTGCATTCCATTCCCTTCTTCCTCTTAGTCCAATCACTCTTCTTCCTACAGTCTTACTTTTTTAAGCGGAACTATCATTAAGTCACATTCACATTCACAGTTTTAAATTACTGATTTAAATATATTTCGATTAAAATCTGTATTTATAAGTGGTTTATTTACAAGATATATATCTATATATATATATATAGCTAATCCGTTCATTTTTTACATAAATATTTTTAGTGTATATTTACTTAATTATTTATGATCGAATGGCAATTTGCAAGAGTTTATAATATTGAAATGGCAGCTAACCGCTCTGTCTCTCTCTCTCTCTCTTTCTCTCTCTCTCTTTTTTTCTTTGCCTCGATCAGTGCATCTTTAGAGAAAGCACCTTCTCTCGCTCTCGCTCTCACTTTCTCTGTTCTCTTTACCTGTGGGACTATAAATAGAGGCACTGCTATATATATGGAATACTTCTGGATAACTAGGAAGAAGTTCACTTGGATGTTTCTACTGGAAAGAATGGATAATGAAGGGTAATCGTGTGTCCTCTACTGCGGTAAGTCTTAACCATGACAATTATATCTTGTATATGGGATTCTATAACGATTAAAATAGAATTTTAAATGTTGAAATGATTAAGCAGTTAAATATAAAATTACTTACATTATTTGGAGGAATATTTTATGCACTAAAATAATAACAACCATCCTGGCAGCTTAAATATTTGAAAATATATTCTTTCGTATCTAAAGTAAAGTCATTTTAGTGCGTATCGCCTGTATATTTAGGCCTGTAAAAAGGTTTTG